AAATCCGAAAAGCTACGTAAAGTGGACGCACGGGGGCGCAATCTCAAATTCATCCGTCTCGTCAGACAACGGGATCGCACCTATATCTTTAAACGACATAGATCAATCTATAGACGATGATGGTTTTACTTAAGTGAAAGGAAGGAAAAAGAAATATGTTTAAGAACGATATTCTAGATTAACATACAATACACGGGCGGATCTACGGGGGAGGGGGGCTTTCGGGCTGAAGCCCCCCCCCCAAAATGGAAAAATATAACCATGTTTTATGGGAAAAAAAATTTTAAAATACCTCTTAAAGTATTATTGTTCGTGTAATTACATTTAAAAGTACTTAAGGAATAAATTAAACACCATTTCATATAGGTAGTTAGTTTCTTTCTGTTTTTCCAAAGTAATTATCGTTATTTTTATGAAAAAAAAAGGTTTTGGGCTGAAGCCCCCCCAAAATTAAATCCTGGATCCGCTAGTGATACAATACACCATCTATTTGTATCTATATGTGTGCGTTTATACCGTGTTTATATGTATATATATTTTGATACATATGTGTGTACTGTCTGAGTATATGTAAATGTGTATTTGTTTGTATTTTTATAAATCTAGTTTCTTTTATATGCCTGATGAATATATTGTTTATACTTTTATATAAGCCTAATGTGCTTTGTACATATTTAGCTTCACCACTTTAACTTTCATTTCTCTTATCATTATTAAATTATTTATTTAATACGATATTTACACTTTCTCTCTATCACTACTATGTTTGTTATATATATTTTTTTTCTCGCTTTTCAGCTTCTATTACTACTTTTTACTTTTTTCTACTGTTGTTTCAAATGGAAAACGGATCTTTTCTACAACTAAATATTTACTACTCTACACCTGTTACTATATATCTGCATATATTTTCATTCTTCTTTTATTATATTATTTTTATTACTACTACTATCACTTAATCACCTATTTATTAATTTACTCGCGTAGTCTTTCTACTATTACTCTGTTATTGTTTATCCATTTATTTATTCTCTATGTTATTGCTGATATTTTCTTCTACATAGTTTCATTTATTTTTTTTACAATTAAATTGTACTATCTAACTATCCTACCTTACTATCTTACACCTATTACTCTTATGTGCGTGTGTGCCTATGTGGGTATACATCTACATAATACTGAAACATGGCGGTACTTCAATGGAACTGCAATGGTCTAAAAACACATTTTAATGCTTTAAAAATTCGAATAAAAGATACAGACCCATTTTGCCTCGCCCTTCAAGAAACACACCTTACAATAAAATACAACTTTACCATAAAAAAAATTTGATATATATAGAAAGGATAGACCAGTCATCACGGAGTGTTAATAGCCATTCACAAATCCGTATATTCAGAATCAATCAATATTAACTCTAATCTACAAACGGTTGCAGTAAATGTTCATCGGGGTTCTCTTTTACCATATGTAATTTATACATTCCACAAGACCGTATAATAGGTACACAACAGCTCTTAGACATCTACAATCAACTACCCGTCCTTTTCTTTTTATTGGAGACATTAACGGTTAACCTCTTATAAGGATCACAAAGCATTAATACACGATGCAAAATAAAAGCAGATTTTATAGATATTTTTAATCTACTTTTACTTAACACCGGAGAACCTATCTTCCTTAGCCATGGTTAGGGCACTCTCTCTTCAATCGACATTTTTCTGTCTAATATTTCATTATTCAATATTATAGACTGGACTATATTTCCAGACTTGTACAGAAGTGATCATTTCCCGATTGTCATAAAATTCAAAACAACAAATCCCACTAGGGTAAAATCAAGATGGATCCTAACTAAAGCTGATTGGACTCTATTCACTTCCCCAGCCTCACCACCTCAAATCCTCCGGGAACAAATGAATATCGACAAAGATTGAGAAACCATCACGAGTACGATACTGGAAGCGGCTAAAACATCAATCCCAACGACCTCGGGCTCACCAAAAACAGAACTTGTTCCTTGGTTTAATGATGTATGCAAAAAAGCTGAAGATCGCCGCAAAGCATATAAAACATTCGAAAACTATATGAACTCTGAAAATTTAATAGGATATAAGAGACGTTTTATATGTAGGAAAATAAATAGCCAATGTAATACCAAATCGTGGAGCAAATTTGTGAACTCCATAAATTCCTCTGCGTTACCAACTGACGTCTGAACTAAAATTCGTAAAATCACCAAAACTCCCGCTTCCTTTCGTTACACTATTTTAATCAATGGAGGGATATCGGACAACCCATTAACAGTTTCAAACGCATTTGCCAATTTTAATTTATAATTTCCAAAGAAATATATTTTGGAAGATGAATCATTATGTTAGAACCTCCCTTTTTTAATGTGGGAATTCAAAAATGTTTTAAGTTCCGTTAAAGGCTCTACTCCTGGCCCTGACCATGTACATTATGACATGATGAAAATCCTTCCAGATAACACACTGGAATGGTTGCTTAGGTATTATAATCATATCTGGTCTACTGGACATTTCTCAAATAAATGGCGTGATTCGGTGGTAGCTCAAGTTTTGGAAAACGGAAATGACAAGCTTTCACTGACTATGTGAAACTATCGCCCTATATTTCTCACTAGTTGCTTAAGTATAATAATGGAACGGATGATTAACAAAAAACTAATGTGGACAATAGAGAATAACAATTTGATTCAACCCTGTCAATCGGGATTCCGTAAGGGCCAAAACACCTTAGATCATTTAGTTACATTGAAAGCCGAAACACGATATACATTTATCAACAAACAACAAACAATAGCAATATTTTTCGATATGAAAGAGGCTTTCGATAACATAAACCACTCCATAATACTCAATAAACTATCATCCGTTGGAATAAGAGGACAAATGTATCGCTATATCAAACAATTTTTCATACACTGTTACTTTATTGTACAAATAGGATGCGAATTATCCGATAACATGAACAGCTCAATGGTGTCCCCCAGGGTAGTGTTCTGAGCCCAACTCTGTGCTGTCTGGCGATAAACGACCTGGGGCTCAACTTGCCAAAAGGAGTTAAACCACTATTCTTCGCGGATGATTTAGCTATATTTTGTCGATCTGAGAATATTACCACCATATAATCCAAATTACAAGACGCTGTTAATAGAATCGACAACCCGTCTCTCTCCATTGGTCTCCGATTTTCTCTCGAGAAAACTAAATGCTTACTTTTCAGTAAGAAAAGAAATATCACACACTCACCCGAAATATACCTAGGTAATTCCTCAATCCCATACTCGAACCAGCATAGATTCTTGAGTATAACTTTTGACCGAAGAATGACATGGGAATCGCACATCTCTACCCTAAAAATAGCCGCCACAAAGAGATTAGCTCCATTATCTATCTATAATATAATAAATAAGATATCTAAGAATTATTACCTGGAGTCCGGACAGACTTAAGCTGCTAAAACTATATCGCTCTTTGATATGCTCCAAATTATATTATGGGTGCTCTGTATAAGGTTCTGCCCGCTATCGGACCCTGAATAAACTCGATGCAGTCCATCATACAGGCATTAGAATCGCGACTAGCGCATTTCGAACAATCCCCATTCTCAGCCTCTGTTCTGAGGCCGTTATACCCCCTCTTTTGTTTAGAAGAAAAAAACTGACTATTAACTGTATTTCAAATTTACTTCCTCAAAATAAACATCCTACCCATAAATACATCTTCAAATCAAAATTTTCCAATGCTTTTATAAACAAACCAAATTCTACACTTCCACTGTCAGAAAGAATCTATTCCGCAGCTCAGTTCCTTAAGAACCTATATACAAAACAGAAATTCAGAACCAGCGTTGGATCCACAAACCCCCAAAACAATGCTCCATCTATCCCGATTACGCAAAAGCAATACGTCATCCTCTGAATATAAATCCAAATTTTCCCATATCCTACAAAGAATCCCATAACCATTTTCAATTTATACTACCGGCTCGTTATTAAGTTATGTTAGTTTCTGAGATGCCCATCCCCGCCAATGTCGATGGCTCATGAACCCCCCTCTCCAAAAATTGTAATACTCTCCTCTTATTACAAACAGTGCAAGCGGAAGTAGGATTTGACAAATCGTAAATCATATACAATTACACTTGCTGTGCTCCGCCCCATGTTTTCCTCCATGTAATCTATTTCGGAACTTTTCGCTCCGAAAATTCACAGGTCCTTCGAAATGTTCCCCTCCCAAAACTTTCAAACCCAGTCAAAAAGTGCCCTCTCAAAATTTTCGATGGCGCGATTTGCGCCACGATACCACCTTTACGATACCTCTTACGGGGACCCCTGGTTAGTTCTTAAAATTATATTTTGGTAAACATTATGGTTTAATATTCCAAGTCAGTTGTACCATGTTCATTTATGGTTTTTATGTTTAACAATTTTTCAGCTCTACAAAAACTTTATACCATTGTTAATAAATGATTTAAGATCTTTTTTAGATTTAAAAATTTATTTTTACGGTCTATTTCTTGGTATATTTAGATATTTACTTCTGGGCCATAACTATGACAAAAACCTGGACTCATGAAGAGTGGACTTAATTAAAGAGTAAACTGGCAACATTAATGGATTATAGGTGACGATCCAGAGTGGATAAAATAAGAAATTAAAAAATTTCTTGAATAGATAAAAAAAGTACCTGAGAAGGTATGGACTTTTAAAAAAAATTCCTGAAGAGAGATCGTCAAAAGAGGTTTGCATTTAGAAAATTGGTGGAATGAGCAATTAGAAGATTGTATGATGGGGCATACTTTGCGATTATAGGATAAGAAAATCCATTATTATTATCATATCATGGAAAAAACTTATCTAAACAAACAAATCAAGTGAGAGAGAAAAGCAGATTAATTATATTATAAAATCTGCGAAAAGTAACTTTTCATTGAAGCAACACTGAATGATTGTTACCAGTCCGTGCTTATCATAGAGATGGTATCGGTTAATGTTGTGATGTAGTTCTTTTATGTAGTATTTCCCTTATTATTTTGTGTTTACTTTAATTTATATGTATTTTGTTTATCCTATTATTTAAAGTTTATCCTTAAATTTCATCTTCGATTTTAACAATGGTCGATAGACTCGGTATGTGTTCAAAATAATTATTTATTTTATAATTGGACTTAAAAAATAGATCAACTTAACAACTACATATAATAATTTTAAGACATATGTTAATTCTTGTTTTTTTTTTTTTTTTTATCACACAGTTAATGTGTATTTACCATTTGTTTTTCCTGAGATAGTAAGATTTGGTATCAAATCTCAAGGATTTTTTCTGTAAATGATTCACATTATTGCTATAAACTTGTGCTGGTGTTTATACATGGTGTTTTTTATTTTCTATTGCATAATATTTAATCATGGTGCTGTTAGGGTGTACATGTAAAAATTTGAATTATTTTTTCTTTGTTTTACTAAAATTACTTTAGATCTTCTTGCTTATACTTTATTTCAACTTTATCTTTATTGTTATTTGGTTCCAGTAAATTATATGTTTTTCACATTAAAATTGACTTCAAAAATCACTTAAGATATTTTTAGTATTGTATAATCTTATGTTTTTTAATGATATGTTCTTTATACATAGAGCATATAAAACATTATAGCTTAGCAACTTCTGTGGAAAATTAACTGTTAATCCATTGTATTCCTTTGTAAGACTTAAAATATAGTAGTCTTGTAGAATCTGGTGTTTAATTATTCTAAACAAGTAATTTTATATGTTTTGTCATATGTACTCTCTCGGCTTTTGGATCCGTATCTAATGGTTAGTAATAGAGGGGATCGACTCCAGTTATTGATTTTCATCATGCATTTGTTATTTATATATTTTTTATAAAGGCCTAAAATTTAATGAATGAAAGTGATTATTTTTGTTATTGTTTTTTGGTAACTTTTTATATAAAGCGAATCACAGCGAATACACTTATGCTGGTATTGAACTACGTAATTAATTATATGTATGTTTATATCTTATAAAATATTAGTAACTCTATGAAGGTCTAGAGTGCAGAGCCTGCTGAGAATGTTTGGATGCTGTGTATTTAAATTTATGGTCTCGCCCACTGGACATAAGAGATATGACATCCAAATCAGAATGGTACTGTGCTGCAAGATTTATACAAGAGAGGAATAATTCAAACAATTAATTCCTTTTCTATTTCTTATTTAATTATCCTTCGATGATCCTTGAATAATCTATTGTTTTTTTTTTCAGATTTATTTTTGTCTTTACATTCCATTAGGATCAGAGTAGCCTAAATGGTGAAGCACTGATTTTTCTTTTCTGAATTAACTTAACTGAATATGGACTTGTCATATTGTTGTTTTTTAAAATAAAAATTAATAAGCTTTATCAGGTTAGTTACCTCGGCTTATAAAATTCTATTGACTCCATTTAATCCTAAAAAATTAGTACCTTATTTAATTCATTAAATAAATCAGGTATTTAATCAGGGTGGCGACCGACCTGAAAAAATGGGAAAAGTCAGGGAATTTTTTTTTAGTACATAAATATTTTTTTCAAATTGAAAGTACATATATAGTGGATATCATTTGTAACGGCCTTGAAGGAGTAAAATTCATTTTATAAACGACCACAGTTCTATATTCTTCCACCTTTGACTATCAATAACGGTACTGGTCGTTATATTGATATCGAACGAGCGTAATGAATAAAATTTAAGCAAAATGGACTTAAAACAGTGCTTTTTTTGAAACGAAAATATACCAATACTATTTACTATTTGTAATTTATACATCTATTGACATAATTGTTTATTTTTCTAAAATAATGAACTTGGGAACGGGGTAGCTCAGTGGTAGGGCACTAAGCTTCCAATACTGAAGGTCCCAGGTTCGAATCCTGCCTCATGGCAGAAAAATTATTTATTCTGCCTCATTGGCCGTGAGGCGACCCTGGGAGATGAAGACCCTCCTGGGGCATACCCAGCCTCTATAAAGTGGGTATCCTTAATTAAATAATTGATTAAGGGGGAAAACCTGACAGTTGAGTGTGATCCTGGCCCGATCCCCTCCCTGCTTAACCGCTGGCCTTGAAACAGTACTTTCCCTTAAGAGTACTGAACCCAAGACCTTTCATGGGTTGCAGTGGTACGGTTTTTTTTTGTTTTTTTTTAATGTACTTCTTAACGGTAATTTTGTTTATAGACAAACATTTTATGTCCATTAGAACATTTTTCGATCTTAAAATGTAGAGCCCAGTCGAACATCAACTTCTTAAAAATTGCGTTTCACCGCATTGAATGTGTCAGTGTTATGATAGTTTTCACCAACTGTTCGCTAAACTTAATCCCATTCTTTGGTTAACTGAAAAAGATCACTGGCAGCTTCACAGCTAATTTTTTTAAAAACAGTATTGTGTCGGGGGCAGAATTTTTGTATCTATCCTCACAAAATATTTAATTGAGGTTTATCAAATGAATCACAAATTAATTTTAAATATTCGTTAGTCTTTTCATGCAAAATTTCCTTTAATCCTGATAGCAAAATATTGAGAAGAACTGATTTCGTCATGGGTAGCTCGTTGTTTTTGGATTTAAAAGATTCACCACATTCAGCATGCTGTCTTGAATAGATTCGCAATTTTTTTCAAATTGTTAAATGACTTTAGTTTAATTCTTGAACCAGGCTACTATTGGACTCTCTCCTCAGTCATTCTTATCACAGTACTAAACAGATATATGAATTTAACGCTAAAAGTGTGGAGTGACACTTAATATTGGCAAACGATAGATACCTATATATTGTTTAAATTTTATTTTGCATTATATTTTTAGTCAATTTATGTGGCTACGGTCAGTGCAATTCATTGATTGCCAAGCACTAATTCGTTCGACCCGTGGCACTCCTTGATGCTCTTAGCATTTGTTAACCAGAAATGTCGCAGTCGTTTTTTTGTTGTCTCTCCTTCCTTGCCTTTTGAGCTAAATAGGGGTTTTCCCAGACTGAGGGAGAGAACAGGAGAATTATCCAGAGTTAAAATCCCACAGGGCACCGGGATTTGAACTTGTAATTGTTTTTCTATCTTTGGTTATCAGATTGCTGGGGAACACATGATGCTGTGCACACACGTTAGCCCGCTCGGCCATCCCACTCCCCTCTCCACCCCAGAAATGTCACTGTTGGTGTAGTATGGATATCAATTATGCTGTTTATAGTAATAAAGAAACTAAATTACTTATGAGAAACTACACTAATATACACTTTTTTTAAAAATATTATTTTATTGAGAAAGATTACATTTTGCCTCAATTAAGACCATTTAGTATTTGAGATGTGAGAGACTCATTCGTAAAATCTATACAATTACAAAAAAAATAGAGATTATAACAAAAGAAAGAAAAAGAAAACTTAGTAAAAGAGAATAAATAAAATATGAGACAACATAAATAAAAAAAAAAAAAAATACCTTCATGCTTATTTACATCACATTAATATTAGAATTCTCTTAGCTAACTTTATTTTATAATAGAGAAAATCAGAGCTTTGTATGTCTAGTATAAACGTTTACCTCCTCTAAGTTTATAAAAATAAAATAAAGGTGATAAAAATGAATAAAAAATCCTGATCAAGCTTAAACAATGTATCTTCTAAAACATTATATTTGTTGTTTACTAAACTTTTGTTTTACTCAAATGATATTATAGTCAATTTTCTTTCATGTAAAATAAATAAATTTAATTATAAATTATACTCTATTAATTTTTGTGTCCCCAGACATTTTGGTCAAGAAAAACTACCTTTAAATCGGAAAAAGTCAGGGAATTTTACTTTAACTATCTGGTAGCCACCCTGTTAATGCATATTGATTCTCAAGAATACCTCAGAGCAATAACAGAGATCTTCAGTAGTATGGTCTACAGATCTTAACATAATTGCTTATACTTTTAAAAATATAAACCTACTTATAAAATATATATTATTAGTTACATAGTTCAATACCAGTATAAGTTCATGTATACAGTACCTGAAAGTGTGGAAGAACAAATTGAGAAAGTCCAAAACTCAGCACTACTGATAATAATATTTTAGTCACACTAAAATAATATTTTAATAATAATAATATTTTAGAAACACTGCACTCACATAAACTCAGGCCCTGCCACAAGAACCTCAACCTCGAGAATTCACATCTCAACCTCAAGACCCTTATCCCATCTCTGAACCTAGGCCTAATAACCAGATATTCATTCCTCCTCCTCCCAATGCCACTGACCTCACAAGCCTACCGACTTCTTTCCTCTCTGAATTCAGGTCACTCATCATTCCTCTCATTTCCTTACTTCCTAATGTTGTACCCAACCTCATCCCAGTGCCAAGAAATCCATAAATGTCCCCAATCAAATCCCTCTCCATTCTCTTTTGGAATGCGAATGGTATTCGAAATCACATCAACGAACTAACAATCTTATTACAGGACAAAAACATTGACATAGCATTAATAACTGAAACCTGACTTACCAACAAACGACTATTTAACATCCCCAACTATCATATCTATCGAACCGATCATCCTGGTGGAACAGCACATGCCTGGCACTGCCATAATTATCCATCAATACCTTTCCCTTCATCTGTTCCCTTTACCAACCCATAATTTCCTACAATCCGCTGCCATGATAATCCAAACTTCCATTTACCCAATAACAGTAGTCGCAGCTTACTCCCCGCCTAAAATACTCATCTCCGAATCCCAATTAACTTCCTTCCTTGACTCCTTAAGACACCACTTCTTTCTAGGTGCAAACTTAAATGCTAAACACCAGCAATAGGGAGCCAGAACCACAAATTCCCGAGGACTAACATTGCTGTCTGCTCTTAATTCCCATTACAGCAACATCCCCTTACCCAATTCTCCCACATACGGGCCAACAGATCCTAACCACAATTCCGATCTCCTAGATTTTTTCATCCACAAAGGTCTAGGGTCCCTTAATTATTATATTTCAAGACTTTATGGTCTTTCCTAAGACCATAGTCCCCTAATCCTAACGTCTCCACATCAGCAATTCCACGTTCTTAGGGAGTCTAAGAGAAATTCTTGGAAATAATTTGGAAGA